TAAACTCTGCCCCTCTTACCAGGCCCCTCCTCTTCCACCTGGCCATCACCCCACTCATTCAATAAGCCAGCTGTGTTCCTCCATCTCTTCTACCCATACTCTAGTCTTGCCCGGTCAGGCTATCATTTCTTCCACTGTCACTCCCACCATCCCAGTAGGCATTCAGCTGCTTTGGACTTTGGAGTACTCAATATGACTTTACTCTTCAGGTCTCCCCCAGGCTGCTGTGTGAGCTCCCTCACATTTGACCAGACCCATTCCCAACGTGGAGCAGATGTCCCTTGCCAAGAACCCATTCTACAACAGTCTATCTGTATTTATGGTCAACAGCCCTACCCCCGAATTTCAATCTTTCCATCCTCAGTGCACATTTGGGGCCCCTAATGGGAACCACTTTCCCAGTTCCCCTGTCCATTTACCCATCACTGCTTCTACAGTTGCCTCCACTCCAGCAGCCAGCACCTCTTCAGACTCAGCACCCAAGCTTGCCTTTGATGAACCTGGTATGGGATGTGTACCACACCCCATTCCCAGGCTATCGTATTCCAGTTTCTTCCTGCATCCCTGATAGCTCTTTTCCTTTGGGAAACCTGGCAGCCCCAACATACGCTCCAACCTAACCTCCACTGCAGGACAGGCACCCGATGGCACAACAACTCATTCAGCTTTTGCAGCTTTGAAACCCCCATGTTCTACCTTTGGCAACCTGTCAGCACCCAGCCAGCCTTTGGTGGTAACTTAGGTGTCTCCAGATTTGCACAGACACTATTTCTGGACCTGGAACTACCACTAGGATGTGCAGCACGGGGGACGGTAGCCAACCTTTCGATAACATCACTTGAAGACACATTTGCATTTATAGGATCTGCAGCCACTATGAAGAATGGTAACTTTGGGGTCATTGTGTCTGCTCCAGGCCCCAGCTCCACGTCTGAAGAATTTAGCTTTGTAGCGGGGCCGAGGGGGTACATTCAGCACTGCATCTCATGTTAGGGGAGGCTTAGACCTGGGCACCAGGGTCCTGCCAGCCCATAGCGCCCCTTTTGCAACTGAAGAGGCCGCTTACACAGAGCAGATCTTTGGTGAGAAACACTTCCCTCCCTGAATGAAGTCAGGCTACCTCGGGGCCTGCCAAAGCATAACCATTACTACTGGGGAAAACAGCATGACTGAGAAGAAACAGATGCCAGAAGACAGTTTCGTTCCTGCTTGCATTCAGATCGCCAGGAAGCCACCCGACCAGGGAACATCAGTTGCAGTTAGAGGGGGGAAAGGAGTGTGCTTCCTGTAGGAGTTGAAAGTGAAGAACAAGTCAACTAGGGTAAAAGACTGCCTCTGATTGCAACCTCACTGGCCCACCACCCTCTTACGTTACCACCTCATTCATTTATTTACTGAGCTGGTGCTGCATTCCCGGCCCTGTGATGGGACGGTACTGGGGCACAGAGGTGACTTGGTCAGCCCCAATCGTCTCTGGAGGTCCGAGCCTTACAAAACGGACAGAGGCTACCAAAAGGAAGACGGAGGCTTATTGGTCCGGAGGACAGGGGGCGGGGCGTCTGAACAAGTGAAAGGACCAAGATTGGTGGCCAGCGCTACTGAGGGACCCTTGCGTGCCCTCCCCCTACTTAGGGAGAGCCTGCCAGGCAGGCTTGACGTTCCGCTAATGTGGGAAATGCCCTTCCCTGCTGGTCCATGTGTGGGCCAACATCGCCCTCTGCTGGCCTCTCCTGGTAACACGCCTAAGTATGATTCCCACCCATCCACGTCTCCAGACAGTCAAGATAATGGGAGTAAAATGAGAAGAAGGAACCTTGGTGGTGCAGTGGTTAAGCGCTTGGCTGCTAACCGAAAGGTTAGCGGTTCGAACCCACTAGCAGCTCAGCAGGAGAAAGATGTGGCACTCTCCTTCCGTAAAGATTGATAGCATTGGATACCCCCCGGGACAGTTCTCCTCTGTCCTATAGGGTCGCTGTGAGTCGGGATGGACTCATGGCAGTGAGTGAATTAAAGTGAGAAGTGCTTCCTCTACTTTCAGTCTCCGGATTAGCGCACTGGCCTCTTCACAGGTCTCCTTTACTATTCATAGCCCCTCCCTGCCCACTGCCGCTCAGGAAAGAAGTGGGCCAGCTAGTTACGGCTGCTTATGAGCCCCTGCGTGGCCCGGCCCCTGCCGACCTCGCTGGCCTTACCTCTTGTTGCTCCCCGTTTGAACTTCAGATCAGTGGTTTTTTTCGTTCTGGGGTGTGGGGGAGGGTGTCAAATATCCCTTTAACCAAACAAACCTGCTGCTATCGAGTGGATTTCGACTTACAGCGACCCTATAGGACAGAGCAGAACTGCCCCATCGGATTTCCAAGGAGTGCCTGGTGGATTCCAACGGCTGACCTTTTGGTTAGCAGCCATAGCTCTTAACCAGTGTGCCACCAGGGTTTCCGAATATCCCTTTAGGTATCTATAAAAGCTGTAAACCTCTACCTTGGAAAATAAAGACTCCTGAGGTTTTCAAATCTTCTGCATCCCAATCATGGCCTTCAGGGTAGAACTCCTTTCCTCTTCCTTGACCATAGCGAAGTCCTGGCGGCTCCCAGACTATCCATGCCTGCCACCTCTAGGTCTTTGCCTTGCCCATCCACTGCCCGAGACCCTTCCTTATCTCTTGCCCCTTAACTCCAACTTCTGCTCATCCTTCAAATTTCAGCTCCAACTTGAAATAAGCATTTCTAGAAACAAGCGTTTCCTGATCCTGCCCTTCCCCAGTCCTGGAGGACTCCTACCCACCCATCCCGTAGGGATAAATCAGGACCACAGCTGCCTTCCTCCATATCTAAAGATCTCCTCTATGTCCTAGGAACATAAAGTGGGACGTTCTACCTCTGATCTCATCACCCATCTCAGAGTCTGGTGTGATGACAGAGGTAGGAGTTGAGGCTTAGTAAATATTCCCTGAGGAGGTGAAGAAATGAAGGGGATAGACTGACGTCTAAACCAGAGCACGGACCCTCAAGGTACGGCAGACCCAGACCCTTGGAGGGCACTCATTCTACCATCCACCATGCACCCCAAAATGAAGCATGCTGGGCTATTCCAGGCCTCTGAGGGGCGCCGGAGTTACAGCACTGCGCAACATGAACAATGGTTCAGATCCCTCCTGATGTTCCAGTTTTGTAGCAGTTCTGATAGGAGAGACTGAGGGGGCTGTCTGACTCCAGCCCCTTTCCTGCCTGGCTGCGGCGGGCTGAGGAAGGCACGCGCTCGTATAGAAAGGCCAACCTTCAGCCCGGAACCTCGGTGCCGCGGCGCAGCGGAGCACCCGGCCCCGGGAGCGTGCTCAGCCGGAACTGGCTGCTGAGGGCGTGGATCAGCGTGCAGAATCTGCCGCGGCTGTTGACAAGTCGCAGAGAATGAGGATGGCCGCTATGGCGACCGCAGCGGCGGCTAGGGAACCCGAAGAGGGTGAGGCCTGGCCGCGCGGAGGCGGAAGGAGGGCATGGCTGCGGTGTCACTGAGAAATGATTCCCCGGGAACATGGAGGACTCTTTATAGGAGACACCTGCGCTCAGCCTTACCTGTCACTTTCCCACTTGTCCAGGTGAACTCCTCTCTTGTCACAGGCTGACTCCCTAACCACCCCACCTTCAAAATTAACCTCTTCCCAGTTCCAGGCCAACCCTTTCCATGTTCCAAACAAACAAAAAACTCAAACCCGTTGCCGTCGAGTCGATTCCGACTCACAGCGACCCTACAGGACAGAGTAGAACTGCCTATAGGGTTTCCAAGGAGCAGCTGATGGATTCGAACTGCTGACCTTTTGGTTAGCTGCCATAATGTCCCAAAACCAACCAAAACCAGGTTGCCGTCGAGTCGATTCCAACTCATAGTTATCCTAAGGACAGGGTAGAACTGCCCCATAGGGTTTCCAAGGAGTGCCTAGTGGATTTGAACTGCCGACCTTTTGGTTAGCAGCCATAGCTCCTAACCACTACACCACTAGGGTTTCCATAATGTCCCAAGCTAACCTATTTCCTTACCAGGCTGATTCTCAGGTTAACTTAAACCTCTTCTCTGTCTTGGGCTAACTCTCCCGCTGTCTCAGGCTAACCCTCCTCAAATTACCTCCATATAATCCAGAATAACCTCCCCATATCAAGATCCTTAGTGTAATCACATCTGCAAAGACCCCTTTTTTGGCTATATAAGGTAACATTCACAGGTTCTAGGATTAGAAGGTAGATCTCTTTTGGGGGGGGGGTCATTTTCTTTTAAGCCTATCACAGCCTCCTTCACCAGTGTCTTCTCCCCATCTGTTCAGTGGGCCCTTTTCTCTTATCATCCTTCACCCCTACACACGCTGCCCCCCCTTTCATTTCCTCAGCAGTCTCTTGGACACCTCCCCTTGGATGTCCCTGGGGTCATCACACCTCCCATGTCCCAAATCAGCCTCAGCATCTTCCCCCAAGCTTGCCCTTATTCCGTGTCCCAGTCGCAAGTACAGTGTGTGTGCCCCAGGTCAGAGCCCTGGACCTCGTCCTGAATACTTCCCTCCCTGCACAGCCCTTCAGCCCCATGGCTGGTCCACTTGGCTTCCTGAGTGTCTCTCTAACCGCCACCACTCTCTACCACCCCTGCCCTGGTCCAGCTCAGTCTTCTCTTGCCTCAGTGATTAAAACTCTCCCATCACACCTGTAACCATCACCCCTTCTGTTTCCCCTCTCCCGCCAAGCCACCTCAAGGAGTCATGTATATTTTTCTGTCTTATTTCCTGGCCCACTGCACTCTTACTCCAGTTCCTACCACTTTCCGGAAACAGCTCTCCCCAAGAGTTGCCCAGCACTCAGCTTTCCTGTTATCTTTGCCTGTACTGTCTTTGACCTTGCCTGTCTCCCCCATCATACTGGATGCTCCTTGAGAGCAGGGTGGATTGGATTCATCTCGTGGGTTCTCAGCTCAGAGCCTCGCATAGAGTCGAGTCACAGAAGAGTGGTGGAGTCAGTGTGCGAATGAGTAAGAGCAAGTGAGTAAATGAACAAGTTAATGAAGGTATTCATTATTTTGTTAACAAGTGAAAAGGCAAACACTGAAGTGAATCAATGAATGAAGTGGTAAGGGACCAAGTAGACACACTAGGCATAGCCCCCCTCACTTTGCGCTTGCTGGTCCCTCTGCCTGGAATGCTTCTCCCCTAGAAGTCCCATGGCTCAGTCCCTTGCCCCATTTACCTCCCCGCTGCCTGCTCTGCACTGGGTCCCAGACCGGCTTCAGCAATTGCTGAGTTCCCTGGACCGGAAGTAGGATCTCATGCCCGGAGCCATTCTCCCGGCCTTGGAGAGTGAATAAATTAACAAATAGGAAAAAATAAACTGTCAGCTCCCCTAAGCCAGGAACCCAGGGTAGGCACAGCTCCTTTGCCTAGGCACAGGCATAAGGGATTCATGGACTCTGAGTGCCTTTCCCCCTGCAGAGACTTGTGTGGGCCCATTTCAACAGTGTAGGCCCTCATTACTGCAGTACAACAGGGTATATACCTGAAGTCTAACTTGAACTGTTTCAGCTGTGAAGGGGCAGGTTCGTGACATTTGACACTGCTCTGCCCATTAAGCAGGGTCTTCACTTACCCACATCAGGGGCCTGAGGACTGGTGGCTCTACCCGTGCCACCTAGCCACCTGCGATAGGGGCCCAAGAATAAGAGGTGCCCCCCTAGTCCTTACAGCCAACAGCATTAGGTGCTCATAGTCTGGCTGCAAAACCCACCCACCTACGTGCTCTAGGGAACAGGGACACGCCTTCCTCCTGGGCACTTGGGGTCAGCCGTCAGCCCCCTGCCTTGCTCAGAGTGTGTCCCCCTGCTGCAACCAGATGCCTGTGCCTACGCCCATCACCCATGCCTGTCTAGGACTGTAAGTGAGAGCCTACACCACACACTTGGTGGCTATCTACCTGGGCGCCTGAGCTGAATCCATACAGGAGGAGTGGGCGGACTCCTGAGCTCACATATCTAGTAACAGATCTAACTACCTGGTGACAGGACATTAGAGCTTCAAAGATGCCAATTATCAAACGAGCTCATACGAGCAGTCTGGGCATATCAGAACAAAACAAGAAGCTAGGACACAGTAAGCAAACATGAAATAAATACAATAACTTATTGATGACTCGGAGACAACAGTCAATATCAAATCATATAAAGAGGCAATCCATGATGGCTTCAGCAAGCTCCCAAAATAAATAATCTAGAAACTTTCTGGAGGAGGAAAATTTCTTGGAATTACAGGAGGCAGACTACAAAAGATTGATATACAGAACTCTTCAAGAAATTAGGAAGGAAATTAAGCAAAACACACAATAGAGGAAGTTAAAAAGATCAGAGAAGAGCATAATGACAAATTTAACAGGCTGCAAGAATCCATAGAGAGACAGCAATCAGAAGTCCAGAAGATTAGTAACAAAATTTCAGAATTAGACAACTCAATAGAAAGTCATAGGAGCAGAATTGAGGCAATGGAAGTCAGAATTAGTGAGATTGAAGATAAAGCACTTGACACCAACTTATTTGAGGAAAAATCAGATAAAAGGATTAAAAAAATGAAGAAACCCTAAGAATTATGTGGGACTCTATCAAGAGGAGTAACATACGAGTGACTGGAGTACCAGAACGGGGAGGATAACAGAAAATACAAAGAGAATCGTTGAAGATTTGTTGGCAGAAAACTTCCCTGATATCATGAAAGATGAGAAGATATCTATCCAAGACGCTCATCAAACCCCAGATAAGGTAGATCCCATAGTTCTTGAAACCACCTAACACACTGTAAGTTTTCAACAATTATAATTACTTATGTAATTATGTTGTTATTGTCTGTGTGCCCCACTAAAGGTCAACTTCTTGAGGGCAGGAGGTTCTACCTGTCTTGTTCACTGTGGTATCTCTAGGGCCTGAAACAGTGCCTAGAATATAGTAAACCCAACAACCAAACCCATTGCCGTCAAGTTGATTCTAACTCATTGCGACCCTATAGGACAGAATAGAACTGCCCCACAGGGTTTCCAAGGAGCAGCTGGTGGATTTGAACTGCTGGCCTTTTTAGTTAGCAGCCAAACTCTTAACCACTGCGCCACCAGGGCTCCTAGAATATAGTAGGTGCTCAATAAATGTGAAAGGAGGAAGGGATTTAGCACTGGTCTCTTTCTCTTTCCCTACTGCCACCCCTGGACTGACAAATCTCCCCAACCCAGCAGGCTGCAGGGAGTCCAGTCCTGGCCACTTTGCTCCTAATATTAGGCAGAGGGGGTGTATATTTCAGTATTTAGCAGATACTGCAAAATCGTCCTTTAGCCAGCCTGCGCTGCAGAAGGCATAGGAGGAGGGAACTCAAGAAAATTTGCGGGACTTCATTGAACTGGTAAATATTTGAACCAAGACACAAAGTAGCAGAGCATATGTCACTTTTTCCTTTTTAATTGTCACAATGTGAGACGTGGCTTGTGTGGGCCGTGCAGACCCTGCCCGACGCCAGTGTGTTGGCTGCTGACTTGGAAAAACATGTTCTAAAAAATGCTGAATTCAGTTAGTGATGTGAAGATGATGAACAAATAATGATAACCAGAATAACTGCATCAAAATAAGAAATGTCAAGAGAAAATTTAGTTTGATACCTTCTGTGTTTTCCTTGGTGCTTTCCTTCTGTAATGGGGGTTAGACACTTTAGGTCGTATATTTAGTGATTTTTATTGTATGTTTGAGCAACTTGACTATAAAATGACACCAAAAATGCCAAGAATTTCAAAGAACCCCTTTGAAGCATTCGCTTTTTTTTGTAACTTTTATCAACGTGAACGGTCTTCATGCTTTGCCGGGTTTATGTTTTGCATAGTCTTTTTCATGTATTTACATAGTCTATACATGTAGGGTTTTTTTTTTTTAGTAAGTATATTTTCCTGTATGAATACGCTAAGGTTTACTTAAGGATTCCCCCTAGTGTTGGACATCTAAGTTGCTTTTTCTGTTGTAAATAAAGTGCTAGAATCATGCAAAGTGTTGTTTACTTTTCAGCGAACGTCTTGATCTGTGTTCTTCAAAATAAGATCGCTGGCTTTCTTATTATACCAGTAGCCAGAAAGGTTGTGAGTAGTTAACAGGAATGCAAGAAATTGTTACTTCTTCCCTCCCCTCCCCCAAGTAGATTGAGTTTTATCGTTTTACTTTTTTTTGTCTTGGTTAAGTGGTTGTAAGATTTTTGCCTCAAGGGTTTGTTGGTGTGTGTGTGTGTTTTGAAATCAAGAGGGCATTATTTGCCTGGAAGCAAAGATGAGAAAGTGGGAAGGGGTAGAAAATCAGGATGAAAGGAAATGGGGAACCCAGGATGGAAATGAGGAGAGTGCTGACACCTGGGGAGTGAATCCAAGGCCATGGAACACTTTATGTACAAACTATCGAATGGGAATCTAATTTGCTTGGTAAACTTTCACCTAATGGCATGGTAAGAAAAACCAACAAACCAACAAAAAATCACGTAGAGAACTATGGAGCTGGAGATGTGTCTACAGACCCAGTTTGAGACACATTGCTCAGTGCTTGAGAAACATTGCTTTATTTCATGTGCTGCTCATGAATTTAATTTTTGCCTCCAAGTTTAAACAATTAAAATAGAGATGCCAGCATTAAAGTTTAGCAGCAGGAACTTGTTTGTGCCTTTTTTTCTTTCTCTTTTTCTATAGTAACCATTTAGAAAGCATCTCACTGTTGTCTACCGTCTGCATTGCCTCCGCTTTCCTAGATGATAGTTAATACCCCTTAGCTAGTGGGCCGTCTCTTTTTCTTAATTGCATTGTAATTTCAGTTTTTCTTATTGCTTATTTGCTTGTTAAGTGCTTGTTTCCTCACTGCTTTTTCCATTGAATACAACCAAAATTAAAGATTATATTATCAATCTTGCTGTTAGTTGCCATTGAGTCAGTTCCCACTCACGGCGACCCCATGTGTGCACAGTAGAACTGCGCTCCTTAGGGTGTTCAAGGCTGTGACCTTTTGGAACAGATCGCCAGGGCTGTCTTCCAAGGTGCCTCTGGGTGGGCTCAAACCACCAACCTTTCAGCTAGTAGTCCAGCTTTAACCATCTGTACCACAAAAACCTGCATTCCCGTAGCTAGTCCCTACTCCTAATTATCATGGTATATTATTTACAAATAATTTTACTGCCCAAAATCTGTCGAGTTGGTTTTTACTACGTTAATTTTGTTTTGTGTGGTTTACACGGCCCTGGAGTACTTTGTCTTCTCACTGTGAAATTCTCACCTGCGTTGTCGCTGCTGTGTGAGACTGCGCCAGTGTGATTTTGTTGTTTGTTTGTTTAATTTTATTGTGCTTTAGGTGAAAGTTTACTGTGCAAATCTGTCTCTCATTTAAAAATTTATACACAAATTGTTTTGGGACATTGGTCGCAAGCTCCCCAGTGTGTCAGCACTCTCCCCCTTTCCACCCCGGGTTCCCCATATCCATTAGTCCAGTTTTCCTGTCCCTCGTCTTTACTTTTGGGCAAGTGTTGCCCATTTGGTCTCATATACTTGACTGAGATAAGAAGCACGTTCATCACACTTGTTATTGTTTGTTTTATATAGGCCTGTCTAATCAATCTTTGGCTGAAAGGTGGACTTCAGGAATGGCTTCAGTTCTGAGTTAGCAGGGTGTCCGGGGGCCGTAGTCTCGGGGGTTCCTCTAGTCTCTGTCAGACCAGTAAGTCTGGTCTTTTTTTGTGGATTTGAGTTTTGTTCTACATTTTTCTCCCGCTCTGTCTGGGACCCTTATTGTGATCCCTGCCAGAGCAGTTGCTGGTGGTAGCTGAGCACCGTCTAGTTCTTCTAGGCTCAGGCTGGTGGAGGCTGTAGCTTAAGTGGTCCATTAGTCCTTTGGACTAATATTTTCCTTGTGTCTTTGGTTTTCTTCATTCTCCTTTACTCTGGACAGGATAGGACCAATAGATGTATCTTAGATAGCCACTTACAAGCTTTTAAGACC